TGGTTGTAAATGGAATATGCTAATGATGTATAGTAAACTAACAGGTCAAAACTGTGGTTGGAAATGAAGGGGGGGTCATGACTGATAATGATAGAAGTACAAGTTGTAATTTAGGAATGACTCAGACCACCGTCACAACAAGCAAACAGGTGTATTGTGTACGTGTGACGGTCTCGAAGGAAAACACTGAAGGCACCAAAAGAGATACACGCATCACCATTGTTTACTTTAAAGGGTTGCTGCTGTCAATTTAAAATCAACACTAACAAAAGCAGGTGAGCTATAAGCCTCATTAATGCAACAGCATAGCTGGTACACAAGCAGCATGTTCTGCAAATGGCTGAGCACTCTGCAGACAAAAGGCTTAAGCACCTCACTCATTTAAACACTAATGAATTGACCTGTCTCAACCTGGCTCCACAAAAGCCTAAAATTAGAGGCAAAATAAATAAATCAGGGATAAGAGGCTGCAGTAATTCTGCAGCTTTAAGGCAGCAAAGGGAGAAACCAAAGGATTATCCAACCACCAGGAGTAAGAAAGCAGAGAGAGAAAAGAGGGAGGGAGTAAGGGTAAAATGTGGGAAACATTAAACAGCAAAAACCAAGAGAAGAAGCAATATGAATGCACAGAATTATCAGAAACAAAAGGTAATGATTCAGGCGTTTTTCATTAAAGGTTTCATACTGTGTGGAGGGATGCTGGGCTGCAGTTTCGAGGGAGGGGAATATATTTCTTTAAACGAGGGAATTTCCAAGGGACGTGCTAAATGAAATCAGCAGAAATGTACTAATGTACTTATCCGTCTAAATGTTTCCGCAAAGATCATGTAAATATAAATGAAACCAAATCACATCACAATCCAATGAGACAATGATGTCACGCAGCGCAATCTAATAACCCTACCCAAGTACAATACATTTGAGAAGGTTAATGTTTTAATGATGTCTGTGGCAAAGACGGATTGATTCTATTCTGTAATAATTCATGAAGCCATAGTCTGAGATGTTGTGTTCAGTTTTATTGTATCTAAAGTGTGTCAGATATTCAGTAGCTTCTTGTAGAAGTGGACAAATACAAGGTAAAATATGGTCAATAAATAGCACAAGAAAAACTACAGCCGAACTATGGATTTTGCCAAACTGGCACAGTTGCAACAAAAAAATATTCACAAAAGTTAAATGCATTGCTGAGGTATTACATTGCACAGCTGTTTCTATTATTATGTCCACCACCATGCAAATACTACACGGCATCGATAAGCATGTGAAATCCAGCTTCAGTTTTTGTCCTTATCCAGTACACTTATGGTTGCTTGTGAGTTGCTGGACAAAACAAAATTTCAAAAGAAAATCTCAAGAAACTCCAAAATATTTAAAGAGTTTAAAAATAAAACATGCCCAGGTCCACAGATGCTGTTGCACACCATGAGACACCGAGCTGAGGCCTGGAAAAAACATTAACAGGGACTGTGAGAAGTGGCCTTCCATTTCACAATGCCAATTTTGTAAAGCTGGTACTGTACCTAGCTGCATGGTGCATCATGGGAATGTTATTATGAGCTCAGGTAGCCCACTCTTTGATTTTGCACAGAGGCATGAATGCAGATAGAGCCACATATAGCCAGAAAAATACTGGCACACACAAACTGGGAACATTTGCAAGCGCACCCACATTGTGTTGTCTTAAGGATGCACAGCGCCCCCAAGTGGACTGAGCACGCCACTGCACTGCAGCAATGTGAATCTAATGGGAGCCGAATGTCTTATCCACTCTCTCAAACCAAGAAAAAAACAAGCTGTAAATTTCAGATACATAAATGCTATAAATACCACTTGCAATTAAGTTTTTTTTCCCCTCTTTTGTTCAGGAGTGTGATTGAAAGCTTGGTGGTTTTATATGTCATTAAGATTGGGTCTAATTACTTTGCCTGTCTTTTTATCAGCATCTAATTCAGAGCAGGAGGTTGCTTTACTTTATGAGACAAGAAAAAAAAGCTTTTATGTCCAACTCCTGCTGCTAAGGGTATTTCATTCAACTGCCCTTTAAACGAACTGCGATACACAATGTTTGATGTCTCAACTGGCTCCCAGACCACAGAGATTATGCAGGATAAATCTCAGAGAATTACTAATCATTTTGGACACGGACGCGGCTTTGTGACGGGATTATATTTGTGGTTTTCTTCTGCTCATTACAAGGAACTATTTACTCAATGAACAAGGGAAGAATGAGTAGCGAGAGACACAAACAGATGGAGAGGAAATGGGAGGGAAAAAAAAAGGGGGGGTGGGATAGGGAGAGCTCAGTGCATCCAATTACAGTAAGTGGGCTCATTTCCTCTAATCAAATAGCTCAGTTAAATATCTCAAAGGCAGATTCCCCATAGAGCTGATCTTCACACATCAGCAATCAGCCACTAAATCTCTCTTCCTCCTTTTTTTTTCTGGTTCTACCCTTTTTCCTTCTTGCTTTATTTTTGCTCTCTCGTTCATCTCTAATCAGACCTTTCTCTCTCCTGGAGCAAGGGCTATTACTACTGTCTTCTTCTAGAGATTCTCATAAAGCTGTGTTACTGCATTAAATAATTTCTCAACAGATTTCTAGGGTGTTGAGCTTCATCGCAACAGCCGGGGGCAGAAATGAGGGCTGTCACTGATGCAGTAACAGCCTCCTGTCAAACCCACTGGGTGCGTCTTGAAAGACTCATTAAAATTCTCTAATGAGTGTTTAATTCTTCTCTAATAACGTAATTCTGTAAAGATTTAAGCAGGATTGATATCAAGACTGTTGAATTCATACGTGTGTTTAGATGGACCACATTATGGCAAATTACACCGATCGTCGTTTATTATACATGAACTGTCAACAAGCAGTCGCCTCTGCAAAACCTCAAACATCTCACAGGTCTCCCACATGACATTTAATCTACTACACAAATGCGCTCAAGCCAACACACACACACCCACACAGTCCTTAAGACACACTGAATGACTCTTAATCAGATACACATGGCCAAAGCGCATGTGCTTGTACCGATCGCAGCAGTGAATAATACAGACAGAACATGCTCGTACTCCCACGCTGTGCTCTTATTGCACTTGTAGCTGCCACAAATCCATTATTGTAAGATAAACACATCCCATTATCAGTGTCTTGAAGCTTGAATCAACAACACATACTAAAAGTTGTAAACACACAAAGCTTATTATATAATTTCTAATCCTGCTCATTGTAAGGTCTTTATGCATTCCTGAGATCAGGTGCCTTGGTACGGGAATACAGAGAACCAAAGCAAGGCCAGCAATGCTGTTAGCACACAGTTGGTGGGCAGGTCAGCATTCCTTTCAAAAAAAAAAGAGAGAGAGGCCTTGGCATGAAACAGGCAGTGAGTGCTGGCTGAAAACTCCAGACAGTTTTGCTTTGCTTTGCAGCCCTTTTTCTGCTTCTTTAATCCCTGATTATAAAAAAGGAGGGAGGAATTATTTAAAAGTGGAACTGATGAATGAATTTCAGCATATTAAAGGTTGAAGTTGTAACCAGCAGGCTAGCCTAAAGCCTATTGATACAGCAGATGTGCTTTGTATTGGCTTGAGGATACACAAACGGGAGACAAATTAAAGGAAAAACCTGAGTTTGTGACCAATACTGACAGTCACAGGAGCCAGTGGCTGTGTTATGCTGTGGGGGGTATTTTGTTGGCATGGTTTGGGCCTTTTTGTCCCCTTGGAGGAGAGGACCACTACAATATGACGAAACTTTTCTATCCTGACAGGAGTTATCTCTTTCAGGATGACAATGTTTCTATCCATAGGGCACGAGGGGGTCACTGAATGGTCGGATGAGTATGATCATCAAAACACCAAATGAACGAATATCCTTTGAATAAATGGTGTTGCGTTACTTCTGTAGAGTTCCAGAGACTTGGACAGTGAATGTCAAGGTGCACCAGAACTGTTCTGGTGGCTGGTGGTGGCCAAACAACTTACTACGACGCTGCATGATGGTTTTTCCTTTAATTTGTCATCTGTCCAGATTGTATCAGCGGTCCAGGCAGTGTTACAGAGCCACCAGATTCCCTCACTTTAGTGCTCAAAGGTTAAGGTTTGTCCTTCATTTCCATCTAAATATATCAGTCAGTCAATATGTTGCATACTGCAGGGCAATATAGGTTTGGCTCTGGAAGCTAAAATGAAGTGCATTATATCTTAATGTATACTGGAAGCCTACACTCTGAAAAACAGCCAACAGACTTCTATATGTACAAATATAAAAATCTTTTGACCTGGTCAGTACTGCCCACAAAAATGTTAGAAGTCCATTTGTTTAATGTGCATCAGATTGCATTTAGGGTCACATAACCTTCGCATATATACGATTTCAACTCTCTCCCTCTGAAAACTACACTTCTTGGAAATGAACCCAGTTCTCAGTCACACAAGCCTCTTCTTTGCCAACTTTCAATCAGCTAGAGCTGCAACAGCTTTAAGTGTTCTCTAAGGTTTTTAGCCTTAGTAACCACATCATCGCTAAAGGGTTTTGGCTGCTCTCCACCCCTTTCATTTTCTAAAAAATGCTGCTGTGCAATCTGCCAGTTGACATAAAGGCAAGGAGGAGTTGAGAGCATGAGGGTTTGCTGGCAGAAGCTACAAGAGTACTTAGCATCGTATCAGTTTAATAGAGACAATTGATAAATTACACATTTTCCAAGTAAAACGATTGTCTGATTTACTGTTGATGAGTCAATCTAAAGAATTTCAACTAACTGCTCTTTTAAAAATACGGCAGAATACAAATTCAGGGAGCTAGTATATCCCACTTAGTTGTTTTCTTTTCTTGTGTCTTTGTTTTTCTTAATACCCAAAATGCAAAACGGCAGTGGGAAGAAGTGGAGTCAGACAAGTATGTGAAGGAGGACAGCCTTAAAGGACTGACACATTAACAAAGGCCATGTTTTTTTGCATTTATGTCAAAATTCAGCAAAGCGTGAAACTTGACTCACCATGCTGTTGAGCTCTGAGTCGTCGTAGCTGTCCAGTGGATGAGTCCCAGGCCCCCCAATCGGCTCAAGACCCTCTTCATCCCACATGTAAGTCCCACCAGAGCTGTTGGAGGGTGACAGCTCCACAGAGGAAACCTGGGGGGCATCACCCTGTTCTGGAGACAACACCAGTGATTCCTGGGAGTCCTGCATAGGGCTGTCTTCTTTATGCCCTGCAGAAAATACATATATAAACACAGGGCTGAACAACTGCCACAAATGTAACACATAAAACTGAGCTGAATTTCCTTTAAATTTAGCTTTTTTACCGGCAAGATCCACAGAGTCCCAGTCGAGGGTGTCACTGAGAAAGCTGTGTAGGGGGTTTTGCGTAGTGTTGTCAGCTTTCCTGTTGTCAGGCAGGTCCCCATCACTGAGCACATCTCCCACACTGTCAAAGTCATCTAAAAACTCTTCACTGGTGTCGCCTCTGTCTAACGAAGAGGCAGAAGATAAGGACATGTCCTCCAGGGTCTCGCCTGCTGCTTGGCCAGTGTTCTGTCTAAGTGCACCATTTCCTCCTCCTTTTACTCCTCCATCTCCAGAGCTTCCATCACTGTCACTGTGAGATTCTGCTTTCTCAGCCTCAGCAGCTGGCTCAGTGTCTATTGCTATACCTAACAGCCCTCCACCTTCAGAGGCAGCTGAAAATCTGACATCGTCCTTGGCCAGACCTGGAAAAAGAGGTTTCTGCTGTTTGGCCTGACTGGATCGAGCCAGCCTGTAACCCAAAGGTCCCCCACTACTTCCCAGTGACTTGGTCAGCACACAGCTGGGCAGCAGAGGCTTCTTTAGAGCCCGGGGAGTCGCAGGTGCTGGAGAGATTGAGGGGCTGGGCAAAGAGGAGGCGGTTTGAGTATTCCTGTTGTTCTGAAGTCCTCCAAAGCTGCCATTAACTCCTAAACCCACTCTTCCATTGCTCAGCTGAGGGGGTTTGAGAAAACTACTCCGAGGAGGTCGGAGCTGAGTATTGGCCAGAGGCTTGGCTAGCTCCACAGCCCGGTTAAAGGAGAAAGACCGTATCATAGGCTCGCTGGTCGGTGAGGGAATCTGCTTGAAGTGAGTGAAGCTGTTTGAACGAACCATGTTGTCCAGTGCCAGGATCTTGAGGCTTTCACTGGACTGTGAAAGGCTGTCTTGAGAGCTGCTTCTGGGGGAGCTGGAACCTAACCTTGGCCGCACAAGGCGAGACTCTGACCCTGTGCGAGCGGGAATGTTGGAGCCGTTATGGCCAGTTTTAGAGCCTCCATTCAGTGGGCTTAAGCCTAACTTGGTCCCCACTTTGGGACTCATCTTTGAGGATTGCTTAGGGATTGCCTTGGGGCTAGACACAGCCATCATCAAAGAACCTGACCTGCGCATCACAGGCGTCGCTGGAGAGCCATTCTTTACCTCCTTTACCAATGAGGGAAGTTGTATGTGAGCCTTGTCTTCACCTCCATCCCCGGGGCTGGTGGGAGTGGCGGGGTTGGTCGTCACCTCATCTCTTTTCCATTTCAGGGAAAAAGGAGATGCACGGCTCATACCATTAGCGTGGGGGGGAGTGGTCTTCCCGTCCTGGGTAGGGGTGGTTGGCTGCGTAGAACCATTGGTAAGGGGGCTAGTGCCGCCAGTCGAGGAGCGTCCACCGAACTTAGGCAGTCTGGATACCATGGCAGACCTAATGGGTGCTTTTTCTTCCATTAGATGCCAACAAAGGCATGGAGGAGCATGGAATTATACACAACTGGGGAAAGAACAGACAGAAAAACAGAAGAAGAGGTGTTAAGATTTAAATGTATATTACTTGACTTGGGATACTGACAAGCAGCAAATTTTTATTTATGCAAAAAGTTTCCACACTGAAGATTTTTTTAATATTGGTGATTTATGCTTTAATACAGAGCAATCCATGTTTAAAAAATTCTGAATAAATCAATATACAAACATAAGTTTTTAATGGGCATCTATATACATCTTGTTTGACTAAATACTGTTTGATTCAAAGTGTATTGTACTGGCCTATTTGCCTCCAATGCTAACGCCATTGTCTCACTTGGAGCGATTAACACTGTGTGCAGTATCTTTTTCCTGCCAGTGATATAAAAACACACCAATATGAAACGTTCCAGAGGGAAAAGAAAGTCAAATGTCATTGAAAAACACACAATAGCAAATCCGGTCAAATGCACAAACACCCGCAGGAGAGAATTTCTGTCCTCTTCAGTAATGATATTTTAATTATCTACAATGGAAAGCAGTAAATAATACCAAGGCTAGCTCTGTCCACCTGCTGCAGAGGTTGCATGTCTGTCTCCTTTTCAGAGATTGTTGACTGTGAGTAGCATTAGGGATTAATCTGGCAGGCTTACAGGGTGACCTGAGACTTTGTCACAACAGCTCCATCACAATGTGCTCGTGTGGTCACATGTGGCACGTAGGATAAATGAGTCTCTGTCCTTTCTGCTGTCTCTAAATAGCACCAAATTTCGATCATACTGGTAAATCTGATGTCTCTGCACTGAACCCATTTAAACATACTTGTGACTCTAATCAAAGCAGATGGCAAAAGCTTGCAAAACTAGTGCAGCAAACAAAATCGTGCACTTGTTATGATCTGTTTAAAACAAGGTAATTCGTCCACATGAACTTCCAAACTGTAAAGGTAAGTAAAAGGAACAAGCAAGACATCCTTAATAAGACGTTAATGGCATAATGAGCTGTAATTTTCAAAGAGCTTCACACATGACGTGACCTGTACCTGGCACCGGTTTTGGAGGGTTTGGCGCCAACATGCCTAGCCAAAACAACAATTGGCAAATGGATAGAAAACGCCTGGGGGACAAGGGGAAACCAGCGCTGGGAAAGTGGCCAGGGCACTGTGAATAGTGAATGGAGGATGTACAGCATGTAAAGCCAATGGAGGGAGAACACAAGGCTGTTTCCTCTCACTCATTGTCAAACTCATTCAATTCCAATCAGCCAAGTGACAACTCTACATGTGTTGGTGGTTCACCTGCATGTTACATCCATCTGGCTTGTGCTGGAATTTCATAAATTGAAAAGTTGCTGATATCCAGATGGCTGATGTGGTTAGCAGAAAGTGAACCATCTGCATGAGGAAGCAGAACGGTTACTGAAAACTCGGCACTAGAAACTGTCTGCAGAAACAATCCAGTGGTGCATCAAATAATATTATCGTTCACAAATGCATACGAGCACACGGAGAGTGAATCTTCAGCCAAGGCCAAAGCCCCAAAATGTAATAGTTCAGCTTAGTAGTTTTTAGGTAATCCAGTTGCAACTAAATGCAAAGAAAATCCTGCCGTATAGCTGATCTACGACAGATCAAGCAGATATTCAGAAAAGCCCAATACTAGAGCAATGATTAAATCAACTTTTGAAGAGATGGGGGAGGGGTGTTGTGTCACAATGTGGGTCTCCTCTTCTGAAACTCTGTAACACACTGCCCTACATTCCCACGCACAGACACACGTGTCTACAATCAAAGAGACTCACTCCCCACCGCCACATAAGTGTCTGGCGATGTCACCATCCTAATCTGTTTCACAAACACACATGGCGATGAAACACAAAAACACACACTTACACACACAAAATCAGGTCAGCACGCACAGGCAGGGTAAATGAAAGCCTCTTTGCCCTGGTGAGGGGGGGTCGTGGCCATGTGTGTCTATGTGTGTTTAATGGGTAGCAATTAGACCAGAGGTTTTCACTACTGTCACAACCCCAGAACCTTTCAAGTTTCATTCACATCCAGAGTGGCAGACCTCTATTACACAGCAGCAAAAAACACGCACTGCTGTGGAAAAATGTTTATTCATCTGGGTCATCTCACTCATCACCCAGTCACTGAAAGATATCCGTCTGCACTGCTGGTGTTTTTCTATTTAATTCCATTTGTGTTATACTTGAGTCATCTTTGAAAGATTCCACTGCACAGATTCTACTCGTGTCATGTTATAATTTTCAGTTCTAATCAAAGAAAAGCTGCACAAAGACGCAGTCAAAGAAAAATTATAGTAAATCGTCGTGGTGTCGGCTTTACATTTACAGCAATAGCAAATGTAGGACAACTGTAAGGCATGTTTAGCAGGCGCTGTAAAGTAATAGCATGATCATTAATGAGAAGTCGAATAATCCAAAGAACTGGTTGGTAAATAGGAGGAAAGTTATCGGATCTCAAAACATATAATTACATTTAAACCGTATCTGAAGAGACTTTTTGTGCACTGACGCAAAATCTAAACTAGTTACGAGCTCCTGTGTTCAATGACAAATCAGTAGCCGACTAATGTTCCCTCATCCCTGCATCCCCCAGCGTAGATCTACTGATGAGGCACTGCCTGTATTGATTTTTCCAGCACTCCCGCCAATACAACATCCAAGCTTCCGTGCCAGTGCCAAAAACGATCCTATTTAAATTGCTTGATATTGCTTCATTATAAACAAATTTGTCTGGAAAAAAAAAACTGTATTTCAAACTTCACATGCATCAGCATGTAAGTGCTCGTAAACAAAAGAACCGCACAAGCATTTTGTCTGAATAAGACTCGAAAAATGTACCATCTGAACCAAGCATTCTGTGCCAAATTACAGTGAATGAATGACAGTTTCGGTTTTTCAGTGCTCTGAACAGTGTAGTGTTTATAGTCCCAAAACTAGTACAAAGACAAAGGTCAACACAATAGAGCGACAAATAAACAACAAGATCCTAACTGACTGACACACATTTAGAGGTAGAGCAGTAAACCTTGCAGACCATCTGTCAAACGCTCATATCTGAAGGTCTGCCCCTCCCCCAGGGTAAAGTACTGGGAATAAATATCCCACAGCTTCTCCAACATCAAGTATACGTGGCCTGCATTAAATCCAGTGTTTCTTGTGTGGCTCTGCACCACATATGAAACATCAAACCCTTATAGTGTAAAGGCATGGACAATCTAATAAAACCCAACTACAGTCAGGATTATTATCATGCTTATAAATAATGAAAACTTCTATCTGTGGTATGGATCAGACCAGCCCAGATTAACATATAGTATTACTCAGTGCATGTATGCTTTCTCCATGGTTTCACTCACAATCAATTAGGACAAACAACAAGGTATCAGCAAGCCAAAAAGAGGTCAAAGGGTTCACAAATAGGAGACGAATAAACAAACAGACAGATAATGTTAAACTGAGTTAAAGTGGAAGAGAGAGACTCGACTCTAGACAGACTTTTTTTCCTCAGAGAAATCTTCTGCCAGACCTGCAGCTTTGCATCTCAGCAGCGATCCCTATGTGTGTGAAATGAACAGTAAAGTGAGATGACATCTTTTCTTACTCTCTGTCGTACCGGGAGCGGGAGCTTAATTTCTGTCTGACAGTGAGGCTATTTGGCCTTTCTTCATTTCCGACTCAGAGGACAGCCAGGCAGAAAGCACCTGGCAGAGAGGCAGGAGGGCTGAAAAATCTGATCTGGAATAGTGAGGTTGCTCATTCCTCTTCTGGCGAAGCTTTCACTTTTGAAATGCACATGCACACCAACTACAGAGATGCATTCTTCAGGAGTAACGGGATGGATGCAGATAGGATGCGACAGCCACAGGGCTATGATCTATTGGGTCACTGGGGCCACGCATGAATGGAGGTGCTCTGCTACACTCAGTAAATCCCCATTCCTGCTGTTTATCCCCACAGCTAGTCTGTCCCCATCTCCCAGTGCTCATAGTTCGCTATTATTACAAAGCTTCAGCACCATCTCTCAACAGAGCCGGATGTCAGGTTACATCCATCTTTTCCCTCTCACCGTTCCATCATTTGATTTTGAATGATTAAGGAGAGGAGGATTTTATTTGACTTTATTAAAACTCTGGGAACCCGAGAGCAGGAGGGAGGAGACGGATTTCCTGGTGGGATTCTTATACATGTATTTATGCATTTCCCCATACGGTGACCTTTTAAGGCGGAGTCAAGCCTTTTCTAGAGTAATTTAGAGAGAAAACGGTTTATTAAAATGTCAAAAAATGGAAAAACAACAACTTATCATGTTAGGCAGCACCATAAATCCCCCTGTGGGTAGTATTTATTCCCAGCTCTTGACTTGTGTACTGTATATTACTGCAGTATACAGTACATTACTGCCAACCACCTCCCAAAGCTTTTTATCCTGTTTATGAACATGTCTCTGCTCTCTTGGCTGTCATTTAATCACATTGATTTTATTTCATGTATAAAAACAATTAAAAAGAAATGATCCCTCAGATTTGATCAAGGTTTTTGTTTGCTAGCTACTGTTAATATGACTAAGGCAGGTTAAAAGAGAAGCTAGATTTTAAAAGTCTCGCATTCAAGGACTTATGATATCCTAAAAAAAAATAAATAAAGATGCTTTTATGCAACACAAACATTTTGCACTGTGAATGCCATTTAACAACTGTGGCAACTGTAAACTCCACAAAATGTAAAGTGATCATGAGACTAAAAACATCAGGCTATGTGTGGTTTTCCAGCTCTGATCAACAATGTCCTATGGGTGTTTATAATCTCACACATAACTGGCCCTTTGTTCGAATGTAATAAACTAAATGTGGCTAACTGTGATGTTCTATAAGCTGAAGGGTCGGAAAGCTATAAGCAGACTGATCCATATTTGGTTTACGACTGAAAAAACCCCTTCATGATATCGCTAGAGGAATCAGTGACATGTTGTAACCACATAGAAAACCTAGAGAGAGACTA